GTTGATAACGTAATGTTGAATAATGCAATGTAAAAAAAAAAAAACTGCTGTACTTTGTACATTACATTTAAGCAATCTTTTGTCTTTTATTTGCTTTATCACTGACTACCACTAGGTTGTGCTCTAAATCAAATTGTAAGATGAATTTTCGATTTAACGAAGAATCTTTTTGTTGTTAAAGGTTCCTGATCTGCCAAACGTCAAAGAAAGATGAGGAAAAGGATTTTCGCTGTAAGTATTGCACTTAAAGAAGCATTGTAGAAGCCTAAACTAATTCTTATCTTTTCTTGAACGTCATAGTTTATATTTTAGCTACTTTATAGTTAAGTGGTATATTTATTAATGCTTTGAAAAAGCTTCAAATTTGCTTCAGTTTTACTTTACAGTAATTTGTACATAATTTAAGCAAATCGACAATAATGCTTTTATTCTAAATGCAGTCAGCTACAATAAATTCTAAACCGCATATGTTTTCAAGATATTTTAAATAAAAAAAATATATAAAGATCCTGAGTTTGAGCTATGGTAGTCATACCATCTGGTAATGTAACAGCAACATTCTATATGGTACTCGCTATGAACATTTTAACTTGCATCCATCTTTAGTGATGAAATGCAGACAGAAAAAAATGCACTTATTAATAGAAAAATACTAAAGGCAACATTATTGCACAATGTTGTTTGAGAATAGTGTGGAAAAATGTTTTGTCACATTACAAAATATACCTAATGGCATAATTTGCTTTTCATTGCACCATTAATAGCTGGAACATTGCGACTTTTACTAATTGAATTAATTTAAATTGTCTAAATTATTCATTCAATTACAATAAGTTATTTATATTTCATCCCTGAGAACACATCAGCATCCCTAGTATGAACAGCTTTAATGCAGCAAACGAAAAAAATTAATAAAGGACACGTGACCTTGCAACAAATTTTATGTTTACAATAAAACTTAATTAATTTAAAGTAATTGTCACTCTAGTTACATTTAGGTTTGTTGTTGTTTTACTTGAAAACCAATTACTATTATTATTTTAAATTTGCCAGCATACCATAAGCTCATTTATTGAGCACTTTGCAATACCTTTTAGTTCTGACTTCAGTTTATGAAACTTGCAACCAGAAACTTTAATTCACCAGTTGTCAGTTCATTGATTCCCTGGGAATCGAACCCACAACCTTACCTAGTGCAAGGATCTACTGTTTGAGCTTGCAGTAGTAGCACTGCAATTCCTGCTCAAACTGTGGTTTCTAATAGCAAGTTAGCTACTTCATTGCAGCCAGGGTAATGGAGTCTAATTAGTGATAGCTTTTATTTATTACTCCCAAAGCAAACATTACTGTAATTATTGCTCATTTTAAGTATTACATTTCAGCGAGTAATTCACCGTGCACTGGTTGTGCTCCAAATGAGAAAAAGGAGAGCTGTTATTATTTTCTGAATGATCAGGCACAAGAATATCATCTGGCAAATTTTGAACGTCCCTTACACTTTAAAAATTCATAAATGATATATAGGGATCGCAGTATTGTGGGCGTGGAACCTTGTGACTTGTTTACTGGGCGCTAGTAATCAAGTCACAACCAACTGCATAGTAATACTCTCAACAACCAATCCGAACATCACGGCAGTGACTTTTGCATGAAGAAGCATCACTTACGTTTTCAACAGAAAATACATTTAGTAGTATTTGGAAGATAAATAGGCTTTCGGCTTTTCCACTACTAAACCGATAACATCTTGAATTAATCATTGGGCAATGTGACTCTAACTTTAGTTGAGAACAGCTCATGTGTTCTCAACTGACAGTATTATGTTTTATACTTCTGATCTCACCGATTGTCTTTCTCCCTGCAGATGACGTTTGCCTGAAGAGGAAGCTTCAGTAAAGTTTCAAGGAACAGAAGACTGCTCTGTAAGTCCTCACAGTGTTATTTGTATTATTAAGGTTTTACTCCATATGTCTGTCATTTTAGCTACATTTAGGTCCCACGGTTAAGGTATTTTAGCCCAGCAAATGTAGTAGTCAGTAAACAGCATGAAATGGAAGTTTTGTCAAAATAATTGATTTAGAATTTTTGCAGTTCTCCACAGTTTTACAAAAGGTAAAGAACAAATTCAAAGCTTAATAAAACGAGGTTAAGAATAGCTTCGAGTTCAGCTTGGAAAAGTGTAAATGTTCAGCTTTTTCAATTTGTATTGATGACCACACTTTTTACATTTACTTGTCTTCAGTACCTGAGCATGCTTGGGTGCTGTCTTCACTTCTTGTTTTCAGTGGAAACCTTTCTTCAGAAAAGTGACTCGTTTCTTGTGGAGCCAGTTCTGCTTTTGTGTGACTTGTTTTACACATCTTTCTTGATTCTCTGCCACTAATGGCCTCTTTTTGTTTTCACTGGCTATTGTAGGGATGTAACGATTAACTGCGAGCCGGTTGAAAATCGATTCAAATATGTGACGATTCAAATATAGTGTTATATTTCAATTTCACAAAGAAATGTGCAGCATTTTGTCCAAGCAATAATAAAAGGACACATTTAATTTATAATTTGTCTTAAATCTCATTTTGTAAAAAATAATAATAATAATCGTGAATCGAATCGTGAAATCAAAATCTCGAATCGAATCGTGAGTTGAGTGAATCGTTACATCCCTAGGCTATTGTATACTTTATTATGCATTGAAGATTTCACTCTCACTTGCACTAGTGCCACTTTTATACTGGAATACACCGCAACATTTCCATTTCCCTTGTGTGTCGTGTGATCGCTGAAACTTTTCTGCTTTTGATTTTGGGATAGGTATCCAGACAGGGACAGACGAGAAAACATGGTCTGTTGCTATTGCACATTAAATAATGTGTCTGTTCCAGTGAATTATTCCATTTGCTTCATATTAAGACACTGTTTAATTTGAGCTGCCACCTAATTATTGTAATGACATGGTTGATGAAAAGGGATTCAAACAGTTTAGAAGAAAAATGATCTTAACTTGAGAATAAAGCTACTGACATTTTCAGTAAGCAAATGCCATATGTTTATTGAGAGCTGTGACTTGAAGTCTTTTTAATCACTTTTCTGAAGCCTGACTTTTATTAAACGTACTTCATACCAGGAAGTATGAATATATATATAATGAATGATCAGCAGCCTAAACATTCTGAATGACTTAAAAGTAACAATATTACAGTTTTTTTTTTTTTAAATCATTTTTTAATATTGGCCAAAGTTACACATTGTAATAACATTATCACAAGGACCGACACATTAAAATAATTTAATAAACTTCAATAATTGAAGTTCTCACTTGTTTTTCACTTACTTATTTCAATGCTTTTCAACTCTGACTTTTAACTTGGGATACATCTTTGTTCTTGTATCAATAACTATTGGATACATCTTTGTTCTTGTATCAATAACTATTGGATACATCTTTGTTCTTGTATCAGTGACTATTATTACAAAGATTGGAATAAAGTTACCTTTTGTGAAGCACATTCAGAGAAATTATAGCTAATGACAGACATATGTTGTAACACTACAGGATTTCAAAATGCGTATTTGTGTTGTGATCATTTAAACTTTGGGTCTATCATAAAGCTACTTTCTGAATAGCAATGTAAAAAGTAAACTTAGAAGTGAACCAAATCCAGGTATTATAGATTTTTTTGGTAGTTGAAAGTAATGGTCTTTGTAGTGTTGTTTCTTGTGATTTTATGCTTCCAAAATAGTGTGAATAGAGTTTTTTGCACCTACATCTGTAGGTGAATGTAACAAAATCATGCTATAGCTGCGGCAACTATGTAGCATTGTTCTGTTAGCATTTTACCATCAATATATGAAAAATAATGCACTTTGTTATTATGCTACTATTATTGTATGGACAAGTTGTGCATGTTAATTTTGAAGTTGCCTTAATTGATCACCTTGGGAGATTGACCATTGTCTTAAACTTGATAATCTTTAGTTAGAGAACTATACAAAAGTGGGTACTGATAAAATAATTTTTGTTTTGTTCGTAGCTACACCATAGCTGTACGTTACAGTTTATATGAAAAGCTGTCATCGCATCTTTAAGAATACATTTGGGGTTTAAATGTTTTCCCTTCTCCTTTTTGATTTCATTAAGAACCAATTCTGGACAGTCAAGTGGACACTACTGCTTAATGAGGAAGATGGCGGCTCATATTTTGCTTTTGGATTGGGAAAGAGACATTTTATTTGTTTGTGATTTGCTGTGATATTTTAATTCATTTGCTAATGTGCTCAACAATTGTATGTAGCCTATTTTTACATTTGACTGCATTGTTGTTTTGATGAAATGCCTGTATTTTAAAATTTAAAAATGCTTATTTGCCTTTTTAAAATAAAAATAAAAAATAATTTCGTGATTGAACAATATCGAGTTGCTCTTATTGAATGGAGAATATAAATGACGTTTCGCAAAAGATTTACTTTGCGGTTTATGTCGAAGTTTAACACCGCTTGTCCAGGTTTAAGGTTTTATTTTCTTATTTAAAAAAAAAATACAGGTCTGCTACGTTATTTACTTAAACTATGAATTATTAACTGACAAGCTAGGTGATATTTGCAAACATTAAAGGGTTTGTGTCATTTTTAACTGCCCCTAACGGTTTATTTTATTTATTTATTTTTTTTATTCATATGTTGTATTCCATAATTATGAGGATTTCGCAAATTATTTTTGTTTAATTTACTCCACCCATTCATTTCTTACTGAATTAAAATAACTCATTTGCTCACAGGGTCCATTCTGCAAGCTTTGGTGCACGCAACTTTCCTCTTTCAAATATCACGTTTGCCAAGTACATTACATATACCGAGCAGGTGAAAAATAGTTACAATTAAGTGGTCTAAAATGGTGTCCAGTGTAGTCCAGCTCTCACTGCAAAATGGCAGTCTGTTGTCTCATTTCCTGTCTATGCAGGAAGTGAAGGCTTAAAGAAATCATTTTATTAACATAAAGACCACTGCTGCCCTTCATAACCATTAATCAGTTGTTCAACTACTATCCCTGTAGGGTAAAATTAACTTGCGCATTTAATTTATCTTTAAAACTAGTTTTTATTTGAAATTAAAGGGGTGGGACTTTCGGGCATCACCTGAGCCCTGGGTAAATGGAGAGAACGTCAATCAAAGGCTAAGCTCTCAGAGCTGGGAAGGAGCTTTAGATGGCGGATGAACCTTGGGAAGGGGAGAGCGTTGAGCCTCGCAGGGCTCTCGAAAGCACTTGTATCTCAACTTTGGTGAATTTTGAGTGCCTCCCGGGTCACCGTAATCGCGCGAAATCGTTCGTTTTATTACGTTTTGGACTGTAGAGACGTTAATGCGCGCGTTTTGCGACTTTGTTTCGTCGAAAACGGCTCTGGTGTGTGCGTAGAGTGGCCAGTCGTTGTTTTCCCTGCCTTGCACTGGCAGCCATGGCGGTCCTCCATTTTTAGTGCGCTCTGCTGGGCTCTTCTCTCTCACACACACACACACTCTCTCTCTCTCTCTCTCTCTCTCTCTCTTCATTTAAATAGCCATCGGTGGATTACTGCTATTATTTTTTTTTCCGAATATTATTTTCGTCTCACTCCTGGAATATTTTAGATTTTTTTTTCCTGTTATGCCCAAAGTAATAAATCGGATATTTTGTTAGACGTGAATGTACTGATACAATCCTCCTCCTGTCAATGCAATAGGTATGTTTACATCGTTTCTTTTTTATTGTCGATTTTATTTGCTATCATCGTTATGTTTTAATCGTCCTTTGTTTGATGACGCAGTAAGAATTTATGCATGTGGCTCTGAATCTTTTGCCTTGAAATGCCATAGACACATGGGTATTTGACATCGAATAGAGTCGAGCAGGTGCCATTTCAATTGCGATGCCTTTTAATTTAAGTAATAATATAAATATTTATTTCTTTGAAATTATCCGAGGCCAACTTGCCTTTTCCACATATCGCAACGGCAGGACATTTTTTTTTTTTGATGGTTCATCCCACTTTAAACTTTTGACAGTTAATACCTGGACAAAAGACCATCATTAACAAATCCCAAGACAAAATCATGATGAAGAATAAGAGTAAAAAGCAGGAAGATGAAGGCTCGACTCAAAGCAATGCTTCCAGGTACGATCTTTCATATTTTTCCTCTTTTTTTTTTTTAACAGGTGTCTTGATTGTTTACCTTTACAAGCATGGTTGATCACCTGTGCAGAAGTTTAAACCACAATGTCTGTAAAATATTTGGGTTTCGGATCATTGACCTTGGGTTAGATGTATAGCCCCACCCTGAGTTTGCTAGTATTTCTAAAAGTGAATTCAAGGCCTATGGGCCTTTACCCAAATTTATAGTAAAGATGCACAGGGTTTATACAGATTTATGCAGTTATTACAGTTTTAATATTTACACTTTAATAGTGATCGTGTGAAATGACCTTGTCTGATTAGTATGTGCTGCATTGCACCACTATGTAAGGTTAATGTCATTTTAAACACTTTTACTTTGACATTGCATGAGTTTAGCATTTGATAACTTTGAATTAATATTGCAGTACTTGTATAGAGAACCTGTTCAGTCTGATTTTCTTGAAATATTTTAATGAAATCCCATTTCACATAAATAAAATGTTTAAAGCAAGTTAATTGTTTTATCCAAAATGAAGATGATTGTATGTTGTACATATTTATTTATTTTTACTTTTTTATTTTTGTAATAGCAACAAAACTATTGCTTGTTTACTGTGCAACTGTATTTTAAATTATGACAAACCGTTGCTTATTACAGGAAATAAGAATCACTTTTGTTTTTTAGTGTTTTAATTAACAATCATTTGATACTAAAATACTACTTGTTTTAGGGTCACATGACCTGTGTGAATTACAGTATTTGTCATTGGCTATAAGGGTACTAAATGTTTATGGAGTAAATATTTATAAATCCCTAATGACATGGGGTATGTTACCTCATATATTAGTACACTTCTAGCTTAGCACTCAATCACATATTTCATAATTCACTACTTTTGAAACAGTTTATTGTAGCTCTTTGTAAAAAATACTTAGCTTTCACTTAGGGCTGCACAATTAATCGACTTTCTAATCGCGATGACAATTATGGATGCCACAATTATGTAATCGTTCAAAGCGGCAATTAATCGTTCAAAGTCCACTTATGTTATTCTGCACGCTTAAGATATGTTTTTTTCTTTTTACATGTTATCTTAAGGGTTTTTCCATTGTTTTAGTTTTAGTATAACATTATAATACCATTCATATTTTTACTTTTTTATAATTTAAAGAAGAAACCTAATCCGATGTATATTTGACATTTGAGGCTTAATACTATAGAAAAGCACAAAGTTTTTCAGTTAGTGTTTTCAGCTTGTTTATTTTCATATAAAAATACGGCATGCAGTTGCATCAAACAATGGTATAAACATCATTCAATGTAAATTGTGATAATCGTAATTATTAATCGCAATTACAATTTCAAGGGAATAATCGACAATTATGATTTTTGTCATAATCGTGCAGCCCTACTTGAACTCTTTATTTTTGTTTTAAAAGAGTGTTTATTATTTTTAAGTATTGTTGAGGACTACATTTTCCCCCTGTTTTGTCACAATTGGTTTAGTTTGAAAAACTTTCAGCAGCAAAACTAGTTTTGGGTGAAACATTTAAAAACCTTGAAAAACAAAAACAAAAACACAGATATGTTGCTCCTTAAAACTGATAGTACCATCTAAATTGAAAGTAGTTCTCCAATGTGAATATATATGTTCTATCATTGTTTTCTCCTCAAAGCCAAATAAAAAACAGGATGTCTTGGTTTCAAACATGCAAGTGAAAACAAATTATTTTGGTTACTTTACTACACTCACAGTTACTCTTATTTCCATATGAAAACTGGAACTATTTGAGTTGTAAATAATGTTATTTCATATTAGGAGTTATTTGTCTTTTACAAATGTATTTACATATGCACTATTAATTTAGGCTATTCTTTAAAATATTACAAAATTACAAGGATTTTGCAGGGGACTTTGAAATAAGACCGTGATGCCATTTTTCAGAGGTTCATGTTTTGTTTATTCAGGAAATATATATAAAAAAAACAGTTTGAATGGAAGATTTTATTTTAATTACCACTTGTTCAGTTTTGAAAGTCTAATAATAATGTATTTACACTATACACTTAAACACAGACACACAATTTGTGTCATTTTAACATAATTTGCTTCACCTTTTAACAACATAAGACCTCATCAATGAGGGTTTTACCCTGTGGGTCATCATAAGTCTTAAAAAAAAAAAAACACACAATGTTTTGCTGTTATGTATAGTGCTTATGACTGGATCTGTCATTATTTTTATGGTTGTTTGTAAAGAATGTCCCTCTGAATTGATGACAGCTTTGACGTTCCTGCATATGTGCCAGATACCAGAGTCTAAACTGAAAAAAAAAACCTCAAATGTATGTTATCTTTTCACAATTACACAAACAGTAGTTATATGTAATGCTGTATATGTGAACATGAATTGTCAAATGAACATGTATGCTCCCTTTTATAGGTTGCAAATAATGTTTTCAGTAATAAAGATGCACATTAGAGCCTAAATCAATGCAGTGTCCTCAGAAACATTTTCACAGTTTTCTTTTCTTTTTTTTTTTCTTTTTTTAGCTGTGACAGCCATTTTCTAAGTATTACTAAAAGAAACAAGAGCTGAAAAATGTGCTGTTTTTCCTATATTACAGCCAGTGTACTTTATTTGAGGTGCTTGTATGGCTTAGCGCTACATAAAAAGCACTGCTTTGTTTCATCACTGTATGAGACTGGTTTCATTAAATGGCTGAAAGTCCTCAAAGTCACAAAATGGCTCTTGCTTTGTGCTGCATAGCTTGTATTAGTTGCTCTGCTGCATTACATAAAAGCTTCTTGGAACTACAGGAAGCGGAAGTAGGAAGTCTTGTAGAGGTCAGATGATTTCATACCGAGTTTTCATTGGTCCTTCCTTTGGCTAGCAATAAGCAGCCAATGAGAATTCAGTTGAGAGGTTAGGTCCGCCCATATGTGATGTCAGCAACCATATAAGGACAGTCTGGCTGCTTCATCAGCAGCTGTTTAGCTCCAGAGCACATGATGGGGGTGTTTGTTTCTAGCAGTGCATTCCATTATAGTACTCTGTGCTAGCTTTCACATCCAGCTCTGCCTTATGGTTTCCCTTGAGTGCCATTGTAACAAATTAAAAGAGAACTACTGAGATACTTTTAACTGAAGTTTAAGGAAACGAGTTTATTTTTTTTGTTAACCATGTAAGGCAGATAAATGTTCTATTTTGAGATTGTTTCATTTATAGTAAACGGGGTTGGGCTTGTTCAAGAAAGAAGCCATTGCATTTATGTTTAGACTCAAAGGGCAAAAGGACAGCAGCAGTGGTCAGACACAAAATGACCTGCAGGATGATGCCACATATCCGATAGTTTCACATTTCATAAAGGTTATTTTGGTAGTTTTTTTTTTTTTAATGAAATTTTTGGATTTGCACACTGAAAGACGTCTTTAATTTGAAATAAAATGAAATCATAAAAAAATCAGTAAACCAGGTTGTATGTAAATGTCTCGTCATACATTTGCACATTCGCACATGTAAAAACGATTCCTAATTCTGTCAATTAAATGAATTATTCTAATTTTACAGGTGTTGTCAGTTGGTCATTTAAGTAGCATATTTTTTATTTTTAGATTTTAAATGCAAAAAAGTTTCCCATGCATTGTACTGGATTTCCCCATTTCTAGTTTCCAAATCCTTGGAATGCTATTGTTTACATAGACAAAGAAACAGCATGGTTGAAGACATCCCACTCGAGGACTCGGCATTTCTTTGTTGGACTGAGATGATTAAATTTAGCTTAAAAGACAGACTTGTCAGTTTAAAATTGGTGAGAAGAAAAGGTGGCATAATTAAGTGATTTAGAATTAAACAAGTTAAAATATGAACAATTGACAATTCATAAGAGCTGAATGACATTTTTGGCAATAACCTAGATTTAAAAGTGAACGTCATTCCTGCTTTACTGTTTAGAGCAACTTGGCATGTTTTCATTGTTTCTCAACATGCGCATCTTTAATGTTATAGCAATTCAGCATCAGAGGAATCTAACCGCTCTGGATCGGAGTCTGGGAGTCAGTCTGAGAGCGAGCAAGGAAGTGATAGAGCTCGTTCCCGGCGTTCCGAATCCAACAGCACATCTGATTCTGAGAGCCACTCGGAGTCAGGCAGTGAATCCACTGGGTCCAAATCCCGTCAGACCTCAGCGCAGGTCAAAGACAAACCAGTCAGGAAGAAAGACAGCCTGGCAGATGTGAAGAAGGTACAAAAATAGGCCAGCCTGAACATTAGGATCAACCCAGTGGAAGCTTAAATTTAGCTGCTGATTAATTGCTTTATGATTTAAAATGAATTATATCCCTAATTATCATAGATGTGGGAGGAACATCCAGATATTTATGGTGTTAGAAGATCCAGTCGCAGCAGACAAGAGCCTGCTCGCCTCAACATTGGAGCTGAGGTAGGCTGGCTGTGCAAAAATCAATTCAACACTGACCCCTAGTGGTTTCTTGCGTTCTTTCACATACTGTGTTGACATTTGCAGCAAGTTGACAACATGTTCTGCTTCTTGGACTAAAGTAATTACAGACATGGTTACTTAGTAAAGTGTAAACATTTATGTTTGTCTCTAGACTCGGAACTGATCAGGCTTGGCAACCCAAGTCGTGTAAACATACTCCCACGTGTTGAAAGCTTTGTTTTCTTGATTAATCTGAAACGTGACATTTTCATGGCTTGTAATCCTAGTGCCACATATTCAAAATGGATTTTCATGGATTTTTAGGGCAGCAGTGATTCAGAGAGTGAAACTCCCAAAAGAAAAAGCTCACGGCAGAAAAAGAAAGAGTAAGTGTACTGGAAGTATTTAAGTAGGTCTCTCACTCTCCTTTTTCCATTTTGTATTTACAAATGTGTGCCTCTGTTTGTTTAGGTTTTTTTTTTTTTAAATCATGATTGTCTTTTAGATTCACCCATATTTTTGCATGTAAATATCTTTTGGGCAGTTGTTTTTCTTTACACTAAATATATTGTTTATATTAAAAGGTATTTAAAAACTTAACACTTTTCTGAGTCATTTTCTGTAAGTAATTGAAAAAAGAATTCACATTTGCTTGCTAAAATGTTAACTAAAAACAAATGGCTCAGAAAAAAAACTTTTGAGAAAAGATGTTGCAGATGCCACTTGATATGAAGTTTTGTATATAGTGCAATGACAGTCATACATTAAGTGTGGTTTATAAGCATATAGAATGAAATAAAAGTTTTCTAACTGTAAACCTTCAGTTTATAACAAATTAGTTTTATTATAAAATGCAATACATGCGTTCTGAGTACACTACAATTCAAAAGTTGGGGGTCAGTAAGAATTCTTTTGATTAAATGTATTCAGCAAGGATGCATTCAATTCAATTGTTATAAAATATTTCTATTTCAAATAAATGCTGTTTTTTTAGCTTTCTGTTCATCAAAGAATCCTGAAAAAATGTTAATGGTTTTCACAAAAATACTTAGAAGTACAACTGTTTTCAACATTGATAATAATTAGTAATGTTTCCTGAACACCAAATCAGCATATTAGAATGATTTGTGAAGGATCATGTCACACAGAAGAATGAAGTAATTGCTGCTGAAAATTCAGCTTTGCTACCACAGGAATAAATAAAAATTTTAAATTGGAAATTTAATTTGTAAAAATATTTCAAAATATTACACTTTAGCTGTATTTTTGATCAAATAATTGCAGCCTTGGTAAGCATGCGACTTCTTTAAAAAACAACAACCTTACCAACCCAAACTTTTGAACAGTACTGTATCCACACTGAAGTGTCTCTCGCAGCATGTTTAATTGCCTGCGCGGTGGGTAATAAGTGAACGGACTGGCTTGCAGCTTTACGATAGGCTAGAAGTAGAAGCTAACAGAGGTCCAATAGATGAACCTGTGGTATTTCTGTGTTGAAAGAAATACCTGGAAAGATGATGACTCAAATGACGAAGAGGATGTTGAGGAAGAGGCCAGCAGTTCAGAGAGTGAGCAGGAAGAGAAAAAAGTTAGATCCAGACGACTTCCTGCTAGAAGGTAAGAGTGTAGCGAAGCCTGGCTTTCAGACAGCGCATCGTGAATTATTAAATGAGCTGTCTTATTGAATGCAAATGGTGATGGCTCATTTTTAATTGCTATGGTTGTGCTAAAAATATTGGTGTGATTTTCTTTGCTCTATCATAAATGATCGCATGTGTCCTAAATTGTTAAAGCATGTACTTTTGGCATAATGATCAATATAATCATTAAAATATTGATATATGAAGAATTAGGACTGCTATATAAGTCTGACAGCTGTCTCAAGGCTATTGGCTTATGAGTCAGGCTGATGGGTGTGAAAACGAGTCGCTACACTAGCAAACACTTCAGGGACACGGAACCAAAGGCAAAAAGCCCACCATGGTAAACGAGTGCATATATGTGTGTGTACTTTTCTCTTTCCCTTCCCAGGCCACAGACCAAATCATCTGGTAAGCAGCAGTCACAAAAGGGACGGAAACAGAGGAAGGAGTCATCAGATGAAGAAGATGAGGATGATGACGATGATGAGGAGGAGGATACCCCAAAAAGACAAACAAGGCGGCGAGCAGCAACTAAAGTCAGGTAAGGATTCATCTTAAGGAGTTTATGTAGAGCTGATATATGGGAGATGCCATACTTGTCAGAAATATGATCATTTATTCAGAGATATAGTTATTTAATACATACAGTAAATACTACGCCTATATATTTCTGAATTTTTGTTTTTCGGGTCAAGCAAACTGTCTTTTAGTTTAATCCTATTAGTTAAATTTAAAATGTAGCCAATATGATGCATGAGAAACTTAAATTTTTACATCGCTCAATCCTTATCTTATAACTTATATTTATATGCATTTTATATAAGTAGTCTGTTGTAGACTAAGATTAAATACGATTTTTAAGATGAAAAAATTGTTCAACAGAAAACACTTGTGCAAACTTTTTATTATTATTATTATTTTTATTTCATTTATTTATTTATTTTTATTTTTCCTGTTCCATTTCATTCTCTCTCTCACACACATATATATTTTACACCAAATTAAATTTTTAGAGTCAATAAATAATTGTTCTTGAAAATGGCATAAAAGTTTTAAAAACCATACAAACTTTACATGCTTTCAGTAAGTTTTCTTTTTCCTTTTTTTCATTGACATTCTTATTTGTGATTGACCAATTAAGTATTATGACTTGGCAGAGTGGTAATGATGAAGTATGTGTTGCAGTTACAAGGAGGACCAGAATGATTTCGAGACTGACTCTGATGACCTTATTGAAATGGCAGAAGGAGCCGAGGAGCAACAGGACGATGACAGTGAAACCATTGAGAAGGTCCTTGAGACCAAAATTGGCAAAAAAGGAGGTAAAGAACTTTTTATAAAGTTTTTCTTTTTATACTTAATATTCTGTGGTACACACCAGCTATTGTGCTTGTTTATTAAAGCCCTTATTTTTTCTCCACCTTGTTTACAGCTACTGGAGCTTCCACAACTCTCTATGCTATTGAGGAAAATGGGGACCCTGGAGCAGACTTTGACCCTGAGAAAGATGAAGGGGAGACTCAGTTCCTCATCAAGTGGAAAGGCTGGTCCTACATCCACAGCACCTGGGAGAGTGTAGATTCCCTCTCTCAGCAGAAAGTCAAAGGGATGAAAAAGCTGGAAAACTTCAAGAAGAAAAACGAAGAGCTTAACGCTTGGTCAGTGCTCTCAGAGATGCCATGTTCTCATTTTTATATGATCTCTGGAAGAAACTGGCATCTTGAAGCCGAACATGAACGCCATTTTTTTACAGACTAAAAACTGACACCAAACGTTTAAATTACAATTTACATTTACATTACATTTACATTTAGTCATTTAGCAGACGCTTTTATCCAAAGCGACTTACAAATGAGGACAATAAAAGCAGTCAAAACTAACAAAAGAGCAACAATATATAAGTGCAAATGACAAGTCGCAGCAGGGCTCGACATTAACGCTTGTCCGGGACAAGTGAATGTTTTGGACGGGCAAGTGAAAGAGAAATTTACTTGCCCAATCGGACAAGTAACATGAAAATGTCAATACCATAAACAATAATAACTGCCTTTATTTGTGATATAGCCATTGTTATAGGGGTGTGTGATATATATCATTTGCGATAATATCGTAATTGTTGTTTAAACGATGTGCGATTTGACATTATCGAGTATATTGCAAAAATCAAACAAAACACACAGTGCACGCACACATTAGCCCTACGTAAAGTCTAGTAGGTTAGACTAGTGCACGTGTGCGTTCTTTCACTGCATGATTCAGTATTATAATTCATGAAGAATGATCAGAAAATTCAAGATATGGGGGCAGAAAATTTATTTTGCGTCTCTGAGCAACATGAAGGTGTTTCGTTCCTGAATGAATCCGTTTGAATGATTCGGTTCAATCGCAATAACTCACTTATTTACAGTGACTTGATGCCACCTACTGGCAGTTTTAATTTCACATTTAAGTTACTATTATTATTTTTTAATATAATTTCAAATATCAGTTTTCAACTTTCACTTTATTATTTTGTTTATTATTTTATTTAAAAAGAAAAATCTAACTAAATAAACTAAATGTGACATGCTCACAAAATCTACTACATACTGTATACTCTATAAACACTATATTATGTTTTGTATAACTACAATAAATAATTATATTTATAACTCACTTTAAATGTTTTTTTTTTCTCTCCGGGCAAGTAACTTTTATACTAATGACAAGTAGTAAATAAGTAAATAAGTAAATGACAAATGTACTTGTCCGAAGGACAACCACATGAGAATTGTTAATGTCAAGCCCTGTATATATATACAGTGGGTACGGAAAGTATTCAGACCCCCTTAAATTTTTCACCAGTGGCGAGCGGTGACTTTTTTAACCGGGTATGCTGAGTGATAAGACCCCCCCCCATCGGTTTTTAGGACACTCAAAAGGGATCACAGATGACAAATAAGAAACACCGTGGCAGATCGATTTAAAAGTATGCACATTTCCTACCTTATTTGTAAAATAAATTCATCTCCAATCCTTCTTCTATTGTTTCAGATTTATCCATTGTTATTCGAATGCAAGATAAATATAACTGGTTTTCCAAGTAAAAACCGCTAAATAAGGTTTTGTTATGTTATGTTATGATAGGTAATCAGAGGGTGGGGAGATGGGGGGATTCCCCCTGGTCTATATGTCTCTCTGCATCAGCTAAATTATTTTTTTATTCACAGTGAATAGGAGTTAAAATTCCCACCCGGGTGACATAACAGACCATGCAAAATACCCAAAAGTATTTAAAATATTGCAAAGTACCGTTGCAACCTTGCAAACAATAATAAAACCAGAGAAGGACTTCAACTGTAAGCGACACGAGAATACGCAAAACAATATGATGTTTGTTATTATAAAAATTTTATATAGCCCACGTTTTTATAAAACATTTTTTTTAAATTTACCGCTTAGGCAATAACGTTGACAATAACGTATATCTTCAACATACGTTGTCTATGACCAAAAATTTAAGTTGTTCAGTGGACTTTTAAAATTGGCTTTGCTTGAGAAAATAAAAATATACAGTTAGTGTTTTTTTTCTTTTGATTTAGTCGAG